TAAAAAAAAAAATAAAAAAATAATAATAATAATAAAAACTACACACACACACGGGTACACATATATAATATACGCGGTCACACGCGGTCGTCGTATGTATCGGGTGTACGGGCGCGCGTGTGTGCGTACCTATATAATGCTGCCGGGACCTGCGGCCGCCGCATTCCGAGTAACGCGAGACCATTATTATTATTTGTCAAAGTCATAACGTTAATTACACGACGACGACTCGCCTCCGGGTCCGTAATACTCACGCGCGCGCGCACACACACGCACGCATGCACCACAGTCCGCTGCTGCTGCCGTTGCTGCTGCTGCCGCCGCCGCCGCCGCCGGAGTGTGTGTGTGTGTGTGTGTGTGTGTGTATGTGTGCGTGTGCGCGTTATACAGTGTGTACTATTATACGACGACGACGACGACGACGACACGACGACCAGGGCCGGCGGCGCGGGACGCGCGTATAAAGTGCGCGGCGATGATGATGATCGCGACCCGGCCGGGGACCGTACAGGTATAATAACGATAATGATAATAATAATGATAATAATAATAATAATAATAATAATAGTACGTGATAAAAGAACGGATGAAAGGACACGGGCCGAAACGTTCGAAACGACGAGACGCAACCGAGGAGGCGGTGTTTTCAACGCCGTTTTCCGCGGGCGACACGAGTATTTCGCGTCTTTTTGAACGTTCGAACGTTTTCTTACCGCGGCCGTTTTGAAAATATAGTCTGAAATGTTCGGACATCATACGGTTTTAGCGCGGAACAATCTTATCTATACGGTTTTCGGGAAGAGCGCCCTTCATTGATTGGTTAATTCATTCGCACGCACGATTTACGCGCGATATAGGTACGGAAAAGACGATAAAGCGAGAAAAAAAGGAACGGCAATACACGTTTATCGAAAATGTACAGGCGTTGCCGTGGACTAACTGAACTTAATCAAGCTTTCGGAAAACACGTCGCGGGGAAAAGACTTCCCGAGTGTGTACCGGTACGTGTTCAATACATAAAACCGATTCGAGTTTCTCAAATGCCGTCGTAAACGCCTCGGCGGTGAAAAACAGATATTATTTTACGCTTTGGTAAAAGCGTACGAGCGAAGAGTCGAACCGGAGCGGACGGACGATTTAACCTTAAGTAAAAAGGTTCCCTCCAGCCCCCCGGCTGACTTATCTATATTATGCGATGGCCCGGCGGAGGGGGTACTATACAACATCAGCGCCGTTGGTACAACCCGGGGATAACCGCAGGGCTGTGCGTGTCGGACGATCGGACGGTTTTCCGCGGTCGATCGCAGCGACATAATACCGCCGCCGACCGATCGCCACGACGGGCCGTTATATTATTTTTACCGCGCGCGATTGTGCGTTGCGATATTATTTTCGAACGCGTTTCGCAGTCCGTTTTTTTACACATCATAATAATATTCTACGATATGTTTACTGTGTTACACAATACTATATTCCGTATGTTGTGTACGTGGCTCGTGACGGCCATGACGACGGCGGCGACGTGTTTAAAAGCCGCGTGCGACTTTACGATTGCTGTCAATAATCTGAACGGTAATAATAATATTTACCGGCGGTCGAAATGAGCGGAAAAGCAAATTTTTCGACGATCGCCGAAGAGGAAGAGCTGGTAACTACGATCTTTTTTATTATCAGCTGTACCCCGCAGTGGCGCGCTGGACATTTTTCATACTCTAGGCGAAACAAGAGACAATTCGGACCCGCCCAATTGAGGCACGCTCTTTTACCACGAACTACACGTACATTACACTTATGTTAATGATGTACAATACACAAAACTAGGGCATATCTCTGAACTGGTCAATTAACACTCAACGTGTCTGCAGTCGGACACCCGCCCGCCCATTTTGGTCGTGAAGCAATCGCCTCCGAAAAACCTACTTTGGCGCGCCACCGCAGCCTATACCTATCTAATAACGTATTGCACCGTATACGCCTGCTGTCGGATATACCGGCTGTATGCGTATAATAATAATAGTATTAGAACAACGATCAGGACCCGACATTATCGACTCTTTACCCGGCGAAACTCGCGGCTCATGTCGTCGTTTTTATTTGTGCACGTTAGGACCTCGGTCCAAGGTGGAAACCTCGCGAATTTAGCGATTACTTAACGAAATCCGGCGTGTCGGCCGCGTTAGCCGACGCCGTGCTCGAACTGTGGCGCGTCGGCGGGACCGACGACGGCGAAAGACCGACGGACCCGATAGAGTAGGTATTAAAAACCGGTCTAAAAAAACGCTATGACCGCGGTAAATTTTTTCCGCGAAACACGCGACAGGTTCGTCCGGAGTCGAATGCGACCGGACAACGAGGACCGAGCCCAAATCGAACTGTACAACCGGCGGCTGGAGGCGCTACGGACGAAAGCGGACGGGATACAGGCCGAAACGGACCGACTGTTGCGGACGAAACGTCGGTTGGCGGACACTTACGGCGGAGACGACGAGTGCGACGACAATAACGGTCACGATTCTTGATTATCGCATCATTATCGTATAATATATTATTATTATTATGTACATAAACCTACCTGTTTAGCTATAGTATATTATTATACACACAATACGTTATTTTCAGACGTTTGTCTCGCGCGATAATCGCGTATATATAGCGAAATCGTTTGAAAAAACACCGACAATGTAATTTCGGACGCGCGTATTATTCGAAAAAACCGTATTTTACGTATAGGACCGAGTCGTTTTTCCTTATAATATTTTTATACATATATACACGACTATAGGATAATAATAAAGATTTTCTATTATCGCGCGGGACCGAAACAAACGGTTTAACAAGCACGTCGAAAGATCATTGACAAAACGTAGGCAGGTACGGATACACACACACACACACACACACACACATACACACAATTTGACGGCACAAGTAGACCGACACTCTAATAATAATCTTGTCGTCAACCGGCGGTTTACACATAAATATTCGATCCGGCCAATTACACGGTGTGTGTGTATAATATTCTTTACGTATATTATCGTTATTTACGTGTGCCGATTATTCGTAATACCGTGTCTCGAACCACCCGATATATAACACTAGGTATAACTACGCGCGGGCGATCATCATCATCGCGCGAGATAATCCGTTGCGATCAATTTGCTCGTCCGTGGTGCAATTTTCTTTATTTCCATACGCGTTCGATTTATCATTTTTTTTTTTTATTTTCCGAGTTTTTTTTTTTTTGTTTCGCCGCGATAAGTTCGTTTCCCTTGTCGGCAAAACGAAAAAAAAAGACATTTCGCTTTGACGTTTGGGAATTTTGACGAGGATTAATAGCGAAAAAAATTCGTATCTATTACCTATTTATCCTTAAACTGCAACAACGCCGACATATTATTATATACAGGTAGAAGCGCGCGAGTTATATTATTTCGAATATTTTTATAATAGTGACAATAATACGCGTATTATCTGTTATTTTTGTTCTAGGTATATATATATGTATAAAAAAATGCGAACCAATCGTATTATATTTTATATAGGTACCGTTGTAAACAAACGGATTTCGGAGTTATAACCGTAATACGATGTTGCAGTTATAAGCGATTCGACCGACACAAATCTCGCGGAAATATTATAATATAAACGGATATTTGCCCCCCTCCCCTACAAAGGAAAACATCGATATTCGAATAAATAATAATCACTAAAAAGGCCGGATATACTATTATACGCGCCATACCCCGTGGGTAGGCCACGGTGGTAAATGAAAAGTTTGGCCATAGCACGAGTTATTATGAAGCAACATTATAATCAAAAAGGCCATACGGAGTGAAGCTCGGTAAACATGCAATGCAAGATACGATTTTTTTTAGTTATACTGTTCGGAATCAATAAACATTTTTTTTTTTTTAAACATCAGACGAAAAGTCCGCATCTTTTAAGGTACCTATGACAAAAAAAAAAAAAAAAAAAAAACCCGGATAATTTTTACTAGAATCGTCTAGTGTCTATCTAATGCAATACGTTTTCAAAATTTAAATCCGCCAAACGCAGTCCCTACAGTTTCGTTCGCTGAAATAAACACCTCCGCATAAATTATAGTGTCTATTTGGATTCCGAGTGTATCAAGTACGTTTCGTTTGAACCGTCGCGTTGACGCGTCCGTTTTATTTCGCAAACGCGGGGAGATTGTCGGAAATTTCGTCATAATCATTCGCGAGCGAATTTTACGCCGCGTAAAATCGCAATTAAACGCGCTCGGTATACGAGAAAAAGAAAAAAAAGAAAAAGAAAAACACGGTTGGTTTCCCGTACTGCAACGACGGCTCGTATAAATCGCCTATATTGGCGTGAGTCTCGTCCGAGCGACGGCGGCGGCTGCGGCGTAAACGAGTTGTCAACCCCGAGACCGAAACCATTAATGTATTACGACGAAACAATAGCCGTTTCGGGGGAGTAGGGGAGGGGACCGTTAAAATACGGTCGTCGTCGTCGTCGCCGTATTATAACACGAAGAACGTATACAATGATAATAATAATAATAATAATAATATAACCCGCGGTGTATACGACGTCGTCGTATAGAGCATTTTGTCCGCTGGCGCCGGGCGCTTAATTAAAAAAAAAAAAAACAAAAAAGGTATAATATTATATCCGCGGCGTGCGTGCGCGTGTAAGTCGCTTTTGTTTCGGCCGCGGCGGAGTCTCCAGACACGACGGAGAACAAAAATATTGTGCGCTTTTATGACGGCGGTGACGACGAGGACGGAGACGATGATGCGTGCCGGCCGTCTCGCTCGCACCGTAAGGTAAATACACGTCGCGCGGACTGCTGCGGGACGCGAGGCGCGAGACCTTGAGGAATGACACTTCATTAATAATATTTGATTTTTTTTTCCTCGATTTTTTTTTTCCTCTCCGTATTTTCTCTCCTACTATATAGGCAGGTACCTATAATAGTATAATAACGTACGCATAATACGCGCGCGTATATAGCGGCGCGTCGCGCGCGCGCGCACACACACACGCACACACACACGAAATACAATAATGTACGTATATAACATGAGAATATTATTTAGGAGTAGAAAAAAAAAAAATAAAAATATATAATATTATTATTATTATTATTATTATTATTATTGCCGACGACTGTTACAATAGTCCCGCGGTACCGTATTATTACAACGTACAACGTCATCTAATGACCGCGGCGACGGCGACGGGGACAAATCGAACGGCCGAAAATCCACGGTCCCCGCTTTGCCCCCGCTGTCCCGTCGCTCCCCCGCGGCCGTGGCCGGGCGTCTCTTTTTCGGCGGATCGCGTCTCGTCGTCGTATACCGTACGATACAGCGGCGGCGGCTGCGGCTGCGGCTGCGGCGTTCGATCAGAAATAGATTTTTCGTGACCGCAAAACCGGTTTGTCCTGCAGGGAAACGACGACGACGACAACGACCACGTTATTATTATTATTATTACACGAACCGTCGTCGTCGTAAACTTACCGACGTATATATTATTATGTATACACGTTTTACAATAATGACGACGATACCAGTAATAATAATAATAATAATAATAATAATAATCGCCCTGCGGGGTGTTTTTGACGACGGAACGTCGACGCCGCCACCGCCGCACGACCGAAGGCGCGACACGACCGTAGCGCGGAGCGTTTCCATCGTTCGTTCGTTCGTCCGTCCGTTCGTCCGTCCGTCTCTTACTCACTCTCTCACTCTCTCTCTCTCTCACTCTCGCGCGCGCGCGCGGTGCGCGTTTTTTTTCCTCGTGTACACCGCCGCGACCGCAGTTGTTGTATTATAATACACAGAGAGGTATTTTTTAAGTACACAAATAGACAAATATTATTGTCGTTATTATTGTTGTTATTGTATTACGCCGTACCTACGCGTAATACGCGGACAAAGTCGAAACCGAATATAAAGACGAATTCTTCACGCCGGCGGTTCCGTCGTCTCGTTCGCTTTAACTTCAAGACGAATATCGCGGGGTGCGCAACGGTCAGAACGGGCGGCCGCGCTTGAATTTTTACGGTTTTTTTTTTTTTTAAATTTTTTTTTTTTTTCGAAACCCGCGTAATATTTCAACGTCTCGAAAATGACGGCGCAAAAAGTAATTTCGCGGAAACCGTCATCGTATCGTTATACGCGCGTTTTTGAGTTATGACACTTTCAAATCGAAGATAATATTATACGCCGCCGTACCGGTATATATATATATCATTATAATACATATATTTTCTATGAATATATTATTGCAAATTTTTCTTGAATAGAAAGTATACCTATAAAAAACACACCGAATGTGAATCAGTCCCGGGCCACTATAATTTCATTAATCCGGCCTTGCCGGGCTCGTATCTGAGACCTTATATAGAAGAGGAGGTGTGAAATGATATTTCTTTCTGTCCGCCGGAAGTTCTACTCCGACCGTCAATTTAACGATGGTTTCTATATAGCATTAGCGAATCGTTGGCGTTTCCGCAAGAAAGTCATTTTACGATTGTCTTTGTACTACTGTTGATTACACGCGGGGTAAACTAATGGAATATCAGGAATATTTACCCAACAACGATCGATTTGGCCTTTTTGTTGTAATTCGATGAAAATAATCGGAGAGAATTGAAATTTTAACTGAATACCTATATTGATTTCAGTATTTTCCAGAGGCGGTATTGTTTGGAAATATTTGGCGGTATTTAAGTGAGTAGTTGAATGCTCAACGAATTGATGCAAGGAGGGAGGTTCGTCATAAGTCACATTTAGGGGTTAAAAAAACCCGCCACTTTATCGCGGTTGTCCCGTCTCTACTGCCTCCCCCCTCCCCTAAAATACGCGCCTGACTCTTGCGCCTCGTGGTCACACACCGGTTTTTGTTTTATTATTATTATCATTGTATTACATTATTATAAGCGCGTCTCGACCACATTTCTCGATTAACGACAACGCGCCCCGGGCGACGAGCCGGTGTCACAGCCGCGGGACGATGGCGACGGCGCAAACGGAATTTTATATTACAATATTTTATAATACACACTTACAATAATAATATGACGTGGCGGCGGCGCGACCGTGCCGGATTCGGAACGTGATGGGTATAAAAATAAGTAATAATATAATAGTACGGGTATACGACAATAATAAATTTTGTCACGGCCACACGACACAGCCCGCACTATCGCGGCACGACGACACGGTGACGAGCGGACCGGGAAAATCGGTTGGTTTTTTTTTTTTTATTTTTTCTAGTCGTTTTGTGTGTTTGAGGGCCGCGCGCATCGAGAGCGGTTTGCCGTACCCGTTTAGGCGAATAAATACCGCAAACGATAAAGCGACGGTAAACGTTTTCGTGGACAGTATTGTTTTTCCGTCCGATTCGGCGCGCGAAACGCAATGCGATAATACGGTGGCCGGCCGCGCGCGTTTTCGTGCGTTAAAATCTTGTGTCGTCTCCGTTTTACAAACGTTGTCGTCGAGTCCATACTCGAAATGGATTTTTCCGCATTTTTGATTTATCTGTCCAGAAAAAAAAAAACCCCATAGTAAAACGGAGCGATTAGAAAAAAAAAAACGGAATGTCTTAACTTTTGGCGAAAATGTGAAAAAGTCGACTGGACGACGCATTCGAAGGTCTGTTTTCGGAATTATTATCTCTTCGCTAGACCCGCAATCGGCACGTTGAAAACATAACGCGCCCGAGTACCTGTATGTTGCACGCGACGTGTGACAAAGACAGAAAATCACCGATTTTTCCAATACCCTTAAAGGAAACCATCCGACGGACGTTGTCGCCGGTTTTGGGACGGTTCAATTTTTCCGCGTTTGTAAAAGAACAACACTGTCGTCGGTAAAACGTAGAACGCGTCCGGGCAGGTGCGGCGCGCAACCGGCGCCCGGACGCATTGCGACGCGAGCGCTTAATTTTAACCCTCCCGCGGCCTCGGCGCCGTGCGCGAATAACGGCGGCGGAATGATTCCGCTGCTATGGAGTAGCCTTTGATCGACAGCCCGTGAACGGGCGAAACGATAATATTAACATTCCGCCGAAACACGTGCAACGGCAGTGCGCCGCGGACCGGACCTTTGTCCGTTTTAATATATTATTACAATATAATTAATTTGTCGGATATACAGCGACGACTATACAGGCGGGCGACGACGACGACGACGACGGCGGCGGTTTAAACCGTTCGCCGTTTCCGTGTGTTTTTTTTTTTGGTGTACGTTTTTTTTTTTTTCTCTAGATTCCCTAGTCGCCCCCGCCCGATTGCGTTCCTTTGACTCACGGCCGGAATTCTCTGACAAAAAGTAATAATAATAATATAAACAATAACATGCAACGTCGGCGGCGACGCAAAGTTCGGGCGGGCGACCGACCAGCCGGCCGGAAACATCGCTGATGCTGTGCAAAAGCAGCGCGAGATATTATTATTATATTTTTTTATTTTTATTTTTTTTTTTTTTATTATTATTATATTTACATCGAGATGCATACGCGACTAATTCTCACGGTTCGTCGAGTACGCGCGAGCGGCACGATAGAAAAAAAAAAAAAAAAAAACGCCAAACAAAAAACCGATCCGGTACGCGGTAAAAGTTTTTCCTGGATTTCTTTTCACCACACTGCGTTTCGAATGGCGACGATACGATCGTCGCGTCGTCGCCGCCGCCGCCGCAATCACGATAGCACAGCGCGCCCGTTGCAGATAATCCGATTTTCTTACGGGAAAAATCGGTTTGTCGATATGTGTATATACATACATACGTATGTATTATTATTGTTAAGACGTTGTCGTCGTCGTAACAGCGGCGGCGGCGGCGGCGGCAACGGCGGCCGCGGCATCGGCAGCAACGTGACTGATATGACCGAGTAGTTTCCCACAGAAACCGGTCGTGCCGACACAGACCGCACGAAAATAAAAGAAAAAATTGAAAAAAAAAAAAAAAAAAAAAAAAAAAAAAAAAAAACAACATCATCATATACATATATATATATATATATATATATATTATAACGATAATAACAATAATTCGGCATGATGCGTATACGCTCGCCGTTCGTGTACACGAACGTGTATATTATAATATCGTGGAGGTGACGATGACGGCGACGGCGACGGCGACTACGACGACGACGACGACGACGATGACGGCCGCGGAGATGATCGGCGAAGCGATTGTTTATGTCCCCCTGGGCTGCCTCCGCCGCCGCCGCCGCCGGGTTTGTCGTGATGCGCGTCAAAATCCTTGTCACCGCGGCGGCGGTGGCGTACACGACGACGACGACGACGACGACGGAACAAGAGAGAGAGAAAGAGAGAAAAAAAAAGGCGCGCTCACACACACACACACACACACACACGCGCAGTAGGTACCTATATACCTGCGGCCAAGCATGCGTGACAGACGGCATGTCAAATTATTATTCATGAGAAAAAGCACGCGGACGACGGACCGCAACAGCGTGCGGGGGCGCGAGTCGGTCGTCGTCGCCGTTCTCCCGTTCGCTCGAAAAAAAAACTATCGCGCGTGAACTCTCGTCGCCGGCTCGGAGATGAATACAAAACAATGTTATCATCATCGTCATTATGTAATATTAATATTTCGTCGCGAAAAAAACTGTCGGATTATTTTGTTTTTCCCCCGAGTATTAAACTGACTACGGGGTTTCACTTTAGTCGTTAACCGCTTGCGTTTGTCGACCCCCGGAAATACCTCGCGCTCCGACCGACAGCACTTTATGTACGGGGACTTTGTTTGTACAGCTTTTTCGGCGCGTCATTCAAATGGTCGTTTTTGTTCGGCAATTTCCGGCGTAATTTCTGTTGGACAAAATGCGATTTTAGTTATTTCAGGTACTCCACTCAGAACCGTTTTTCGTTAGCAATGGCCTATAGTTGCGTACCACAGATATAAATCAAATCGTTCTATGAATCCTACCTCCCAACTCTTCCTCCCTCTAAAACAGTGGCACGACCGTCAGCGGTATCGACCTTGTTTTTTTTACTTTCACGTATATACCTACTATAATATTACTATATAACAACTACCTAACGGAATATTCTACCGAAATATCCCGAGTATGAAATACCGAACTCGGATACGGCAACGATGAGATTTTGCCA